GACAGCGAGCTGCCAGACTGACACAGAAGTTCCTATATTCTTTTGAAGGTTAGCGACAAGTCACAACCAACATAACAAGCAATAATGTGCAAGGTGATAGGTTCTCAGAGATCTTGGTAGTTAGGTAATTTCATAGCGAGAAGCTCAATTACTATCTAGGCGTGATAAAATGTTCTAATCATCGGACCTGGGGATGTTGAATGGAGGATTGTATCAACGTACCCTGTGGAAAGCTGAAGAAATGCGATGTTGTCGAGAGGTCCTTGGATATCAAGGCAGATGTCCTAAATCTTGAAACAGTCAGCGCGATGTCTCTCAATAGCATTAACAATATAACGTGAGAGTTATAATCCATATCAGAATATGTAAGAAATTGAATATCATCCGACAGTGCTGTATAGAGAGCCCCGGCGAGGGCCTCACAGACACTGGGTCAATCGCAAATTACGGCATCATATGAGGAATGAGGGGAAGAAGACCGAGAATGAGAGGAAAAAGGGAATATGAGCATACCTTAGTAAATGCTACATTTGAGCAGTTGCCGAAACTAGAAGCAACGCAGACTCATCATCAAAGTCTGAAGCTTGTAAAGCTGAGTAGCTTAAAGAGATCAACAAAAGTTCTACGGCGAAAAAAACTAGATAAATGCACGGGCTCGGATAATGGTTAATGCGAATGCTGACCTAAGCAGAGCCCTAGACCTGCAAGTGGCCGGTTAAGCGAGAATGTTGCGAGTGTGGGCACATCCGAATTTCGAGACAACTCTTGGACAATTGAACTCTTTCGACAACCCCCTCTCGACTCATACCCCCTGTCGACCGTGAGTGTGCAATCTACAAATATTACAGAGCCGCGACGCTGAATTTTTCGTCCCGCAGAATTTCGCCATGGCCGATATCGATGTCAAGGTCGCTTCGTGGAAGCTGGTTGAGGTTGGCCGCCTAGTGCTGATCCGCAGCGGCCCCTTCGAAGGCAAGCTTGCTGCCATCGTTGAGATCGTGGACCACCGCCGTGTATGTGGAATCGCCCTCTGAATCCGGAAATCGTGACAAAATTCGAAGGACTCGGGATTTTCGGAGATCTTTAAGACTGGGAATGTGTATTGACTTGCGATTTTTTTGTTCAGGTCCTGGTCGACGGTCCCTCCACCGAGGAGCAGAAGATCGTGCCCCGTCACGTCCTTCCCCTCGCCCACGCTACCCTCACTCACTTCACCATCCCCAAGCTTCCCCGTGCTGCCGGTACCGGTCCCGTGAAGAAGCTTTGGGCTAAGAACGAGATTGATGGCAAGTGGGCCAAGAGCACCTTCGCTCAGCGCACCGACCGCTCCGAGCGCCGCAAGAACCTTTCCGACTTCGAGCGCTTCAAGGTTCTGCGCCTCCGCAAGCAGGTACGTTCGACATCTTGAAATGGGGGGGATCGCTCTGGCATGAATGCGCCTGGGCCCACCCGATCTGATAATCTGGGGGAATTACAAACAGTTCAACTAACACCACTCTAGGCTCGCTACGAGGTCCAGAAGTCCCACGCCAAGGCTCGCGCTGCCAACAAGTCATAGATGGTTACGAGGTTTCGGTGCATGGGTTTGAAGGAGGTGTCCTGGAAGGGTTTCCATTGCTGGTAATACTCTGGCAAAATCGCTGTATGCATCATCAATGAACAGCAAAAATGATTCAAAATCCTTGATATCCCGGCAAAGGGGCCTTCTGTCATTTGGTTTACCTCTGGCTCTGGACTCATTTTTATATCCCCCCAACGGGGAATATTGAACTTCTGGTTCTACAAAAAGAATAGAACGAGCAGATACGTAAATAATGACCTGCAAACTGTATTAACTGTATTATTGATATATTTTGATCTAGATGGGATCTATAAATTATTAGCCAATCTAGTTTGGAATTGGTGATGTAGTTCCATATAGGGCAATGTGTGCAGGGCAGTCTGGGGGCGCGCGCTCGCTAATGATTTTCGGGTTCGGTCTGGCGCACAGCTACGCACCTTCACCTTCAACAAAATCCATCCCCACTCCCAACAGCTTGATATTTACCTCTCAGGTATGTATGAGTGTTTACTCGACTGAATTATCGACTTTTCAACATCAGTTTCCGCCCTTCCCTTAGTGTGGGCGATTCGTGGGGGGTTGACCATTCTCTCCTACTATGCCCGCTCTCATACCATTCAACCAGCCCTGACATCCATTGCCGAACGAACCAACCCAACTAATCAACTCTTTTTCGCATTCATCTTAGGCCCTTTTACATCGCAAAAATGGCTGATCCCCGCGTTGAAGAAATCCACGATGACGAGGTCACCAAGACCGTCGAGGAGAGCTCCTCTGAGTCTGGCTCCGAGGCTGGCGATGAGCCCAACATTCCCGCCGGTGCCGCTGTCGCTATCCACTCTCGTGGTGAGAAGAAGGCCCGCAAGGCCATTGGCAAGCTCGGTCTGAAGCTCGTCCCTGGCATCACCCGTGTCACCCTCCGCCGCCCCAAGAACGTATGTGATCCCGATGCGACCGTCATGAGATTTTCTACCCCGCCAAGTACAATGTGATTGCAACCATGAAGCGCAACACTGGCTACCAACGAGATGAAATCGCTTGATATATTTTTACCATGGAGATGCTAATTGTTGGTATTAAAGATCCTCTTCGTTGTCAACCAGCCCGAGGTTTACCGTTCTCCCAACAGCAACTGCTGGATGTACGTGAAACCCAATTGGACTCGCTCATCTGTGAACGACATTCACTAACATCCTTTTAGCATCTTCGGTGAGGCCAAGATTGAGGACCTGAACTCCCAGGCCCAGGCTTCCGCCGCCCAGCAGCTCGCTGCCTCCGAGGCCACCGGCGACCACGCCGGTCACGACCACGAGGAGATTCTCGGCAAGGGCAAGGCCCCCGAGACCGAGGATAAGAAGGAGGACGAGGAGGATGATGGTGAGGAGGTCGATGAGACCAACCTCGAGTCCAAGGATATCGAGCTGGTCATGGCACAAGCAAACGTGTCCCGCAAGAAGGCCGTCAAGGCTCTTCGGGAGAACGACAACGATATCGTTAACTCCATCATGGCTCTCAGCATATAACGAGTGACCCTATTTAAGGTTCTACGAGGGACTTGGGTTATGATTGCCAGATGAAGATATCTGGCATGTTGTCGCCCATAGTGTACACAATTTAGCCCAAAAAACAATTGAACCCGCGGATGAGTCAATTAATCAACCTGAACTTCGTAGTGAGAAAAGATATAAGCTATTTATAAGTTATTTACAAGAATTAACACGATCGCTCTATAATTTGTCGCCTATACAATGCACGGTGGATTTCGGAATGGACATCACGTGATTTGAACAATCCAAACCTTCCGGTCGCTCCTCGTTCGGCAACTCCCTGCACATTGAACTCCCCTCTCTTCTCCCCACCCCCAACCTCTATCATACCCGTCACAATGGCTGCTGTATGTTTCGCTCCTGCTCCTCGCTATGACAATCCCTTGTCAACCCGTCCGGATAACTCCCGCTAACTCCCTTCACCCGAAAACAGCGCAGCGCCGCTCTCAAGATCGACTGGGTCAAGGTGTCGACCTCCCTCGGCCTCCGCGGCCAGACCGCTACCTCCCTCCAAGCTTTCAAGAAGCGCAATGACGAGGCTCGCCGCAAGGTCCAGGTCCTCTCCGAGCACCCCCAGACTGTTGACTTCAGCCACTACCGCGGCATCCTGAAGAACCAGGCCATCGTCGACGAGCTCGAGAACCACTTCAAGGCCTTCAAGCCCGCTACCTACGATGTCAATCGCCAGCTGAAGGCCATTGACGCCTTCGAGGCCCAGGCTGTCCAGAACGCCGAGGCTACCAAGGGTAAGGTCGAGGCTGAGTTGAAGAACTTGCAGAAGACCCTGGAGAACATCGAGACCGCCCGTCCCTTCGAGGACCTCACTGTCGTACGTATTATCTGCTGTAGACTGCAGAATTGGGACCATTACTCACATGTCTGCTTTTTTAGGACGAGGTTGCCGCCGCCCAGCCCGAGATCGACGAGAAGACCGCTTCCCTCGTCTCCAAGGGCAAGTGGATGCCCCCTGGCTACAAGGTACGTGTTGACTGTCTTGCTGAGAACAATACGTCCATTGCGATACTTATACCATTCCCTTCTGTAGGAGCGCTTCGGCGATCTGTCCGCTGTTTAAGCGTGGACTCTTGTGGCCTCAAATCCGCCTTTTTATTCCTCGCTCCATTGCACTACGTGATCATGACTTTTGGAGCCAAGAAGACGGCTATTCAGCCAGTGTGTGGTCAGATACCTCCGATAGTGTGGTGGGGCAGTTGGGATGTGTATAGAAACAATACATTTGTCGTTTCTGCGTTCATTAATAGATTCCACTGTAATCTAGTACTTTTCAACAAGATATTAAACCAATTGATCGGGAGATGGGCTCTGGTTTAGAACAAAATAAGGCAATAAACATTGTACGTCCGATATATATCTTCGTAGGTTGAGTGAGGATATATAGTGAAGTATCACTTGAAAAATGGTTATTTTGGAACTCCGACAAGAAATACTGAGCAGCAATCTATTCCAATCTGATAAGATGCACTAAAGATTGAGCCACATACAGAATCTCGCTTGATGACGAGCTCTCAAGCTGGCTTTGCCAAGACACGCAGCTCACCTCAGTTTACCCACATCCCCTGGGTCCTACCCCTCTCTCAGCAATGGGCCGGGGTTTTCCTTTCAATTGCTCTTTTCATTGGAGACTGCGCTGGAAGCGTTGTCAAGCGCCTCTCCTATGAGTCACGAGGAGCTACAGGGACAACATTATGCGAAGTCTGCAGTCGATATATGGACTGTGTTTCCATTGAGATAAACCATATCCGTTTCTGCTCTTCCCCCTGGCCCTTTACGACCATAAAAATACCGTGTGATCTTACAAGTGAACACCGTCTTGCTACGATCAAGCTATACAAGCCATATAATAACACATCACCTTTAGACGCACGTTGCAAATGGGCTCAGGCCCGTCTGATCCATTGGCCGACCACCCGTGCTCGCGCCTGGAGTCACTGCCCGTGGAAATCCTGCAATTGATCTTTCTTCATAGTCTTGAAGTGAACCTCCCTCGTGCCTCACCACGTCTCAGCCAAGCCCTGTCCACTCCATTGCTCTATACCTGGCTCATTCGGCTTGCATTCAGCAGTCCCAATCTAGGCTCGCGAGAGGGATTTTTTACCCCGGATTTCCTACCCCCACCTTTGGACTTCTGGGCCTTGCCCTGGAAAGAGCGCCAACAATTACAGACCGACCTGCTGGCATGTCGGTGGTGCACACTCCCCCTGTTCCGGAAATGCCAGCGTGAGTACGTTGCGCATACCATCCGACGCAAATGCGCCGGCCTAGTCTTCCACCCGGACGACCAAGCAGTGCTGTCAAATCTGGACCCACGCTTCGAAAACCTAGAAGCCTGTGACTGGGCCGTACTCGGCCGGCGCGGGAAAGGCGATTTGGTGATCCCCGCACAGGTGGAGGACACTTCACGGACCCCGTCCCGCACTGTCGACCGCAAAGTGGCAATCTGGTTCCATTTTGGGGCTGTGCAGATCCGCAAACCCCACGAGATATACCACGAGAACGACCTCTTCCGGCTGCCGTGCGCGGTGGCTATTGGGCCTGGCCGCATTCCGGACAAGGTCTTGCGCTCGCCCTGGTCGGATGCGCAGTTCGAGTTCTTGCAGCTGCTCTCTGCGGACTTTTACCTGGACGAGGATGAGGCGCGGCCGGACCGATCTTCGGATATCACATATCGGCTCATTCGAACGCGCAAGATCGAGCCTTTTCGTCGCTTGCTGCGGATATCGTTCCGTGCTGCGAATTGTCGTGTCCCTGCTCGCTGGCCGCTACAGCATTCACATTATTCCCTTGTCCGGCGCTATGGGAGTGGGCCTGGGGATCCGTTCGCAGATGTTATCTTGAATGAGCGTTGGGGTGATATACCCGCAGATGCAAAACAGGATTTGTTGCGATATGTCGAGTCGTCCTCATTAGAAGATGGGAATTGATATACTTGCTTCCAAGATTAATACTCACCAATGTAAATTCATACTTCAAAACTTACCATGCGTACATGCATCCTCTACAATTATATCATTCATGGAAGAGAAGCAATGTAAATCGAGGTAAAGTAATTCATAACCCAAAATTTGATTCATAATTCACAATTAAAAAACTGCGCCATGGGGTATTTACTCCAAGAAGGTATAATAACAAAAGAAAATCCGCGCTGGCATAACAATCGTAGAACCCATATCCAAGCCCTCTTATCCCCATGGACTCAAGAGGCGCACACAGACATGATGGTTTGTTTCTTATCAGACTGCTGATCGCCGACTTCGTCTACTTTTTCCACAGGAGCCGCAGGTCAGACAGGAGATGATGGCATCGATCACTGTGACCACGCCGCTGATGATGGCGTGCAAGATGGAGCCGACGGCATTGACGATAGCCATGAGGCAGCTACCGATGGCGCGGAAGACGCTTTGGATCTAGAGGCGGGATGTTAGTTGAGATCGCATAGAAAGCAGATGGGGTTCACATACGCAAGAGACGACGCAACCCATATTGAAGATGAAAAGGTTTTCTTGAGGTTGTTTGGTTGTTTTGTATGAAGTGTTTATCTCGGTTTGGAGCTGAGAGTAGAGTCTGAGCTGGAGGAAGCGTGTGTATGGACTGTTGGATCACTGAAAGGGTGCATATTGAAGACAGTAAAGTAGATGGACCGGTGGTTTAAATAAGAATGGCAAGGGTGATCATCTAAGACAGGGACTGATAATTTCCTGTTTAGATACGTAAGTGGTGTAAGTGGTGTCCAGAAAAGGCGATTGATAGACAAGTTCATGCAGCTAAGCTTGTCTTGCGAGGCGTCAGAGATCAGAAGGTGCAGACGCCGGTGACGTAGTTGGGGAAGCTATGACAGAATTCAAGGTTTGTGGAGGAATGAGAGAAAAGGAGTGAAAGTTTGCAATCGCTAAATTAGATACACAAGGCACCAGGAACAGTCCAACGATCATTCCGTCATTTCGACATCGACACCAGGCTGTTCCTTGATTTCGGCTGGATTATTCAAAAGTGCAGAATCTTTTGACAAGGCTGGCTTTGTGGGGCAATTGGTGGATCCTAAATGGGCCATCTAGCCTTTAAAATGTCTCCAGGTCTGATTTCTAATTTAACCATGTTGACTCCTTTGGAATGATATTCTTCTTGTTCGACAACTTTTCTTTTGCTGATAGACCCTGACGTCATTTGATAACGGGCTAAACCCAATTTAGGAACAGAGTGGGGAGACATCACGTGCTACCATGTGACCTACCAGCCCTTAAGTGGCTAGCCCTAACACCTGTCGGGCTCTCCCCCGCCAATCAGACGGGGTTACGGACTTGGCCTGCAAAGTTGTATACTTTCCAAAGTTGATATGCGAAAAACATACTGCAACACTGAATAATTCTCATACACGACTCAGAAATGATTCCAGCTCACAGATCGATGTACCCTAGATAGTGAGAACGTTCAATTGCTCCATGAGCCCACCAAAACGCGAAGATGAACCCGTGACGCGGACAAAGCTGGCTCCGCCTACGCCCGCAAGTTCGCATTCGTCCGCTATCCCCAAATCGAAGCGCCGTCGCACCTTCAAGAACCCGATTCGGAGCAGCTCATCTCGGTCTTCGCGGTCGAGATCGAGCCCCTATGACCGTCCTTCTAATTCGCCCACACCTAGAATCTCGCGCCCGCATACTCACCGCAGGATGTTGTCCCTCCTTGAGGCCCTGCCCGTCGAGATCATCGAGCAGATCTTCCTACACTCGCTCAATCTAAACTTTCCTCGAGCTTCGCCGTTCCTGTCGCGCGCCCTCTCCGGTGAACACATATATCGCGCTCTCATCCTCCTTGCGTTCTGGAACGATGCGCTCGAAAACCCCCGCAGCAAGGTTATTGACCGTATGATGGTCCCGCTCGACTACGTTCCCCTCACACTGGACGAGCGCGCCCGCTTACAGGAAGCCGTCTTCAAGTGCAGGTGGTGTACCGTGGACCGCGTGCGCGAACAGGTTCCAACAATGCAGATCCTCACCATCTATCGTCGCTGGATCAACGCCGGTATCGTGACGGATGAGAACGAGCGGGCTGCCCTTGAAAAGTTTATAGCGCGTAAGGACGACAGAATCCGCGTATTCCATGGGAAGGGCGGGCCGATGAGGGAAATCGCTTGCATGCCCCCGGAGTTCTTCCGGATGGCCCCGAACGCGGCGAAAGGGATCCATGAGTACACGCTCCATGTCTTGCCGATGGTCACCACCGAGCTTCAATGTGTGGATGTGGGATTGACCGTCAACATGCCCGCACTGGACCTGTGCAAATTCCCATCCCATCTCCTCCGAGGCCGCAGCAACGGTTTCCCCCCAGAAGACGTTGCTTTCCTGGAGATGCTGCGCATGACCTCGTGCAATTGGACCCATGGAAAGGGCCAACTATCACCCTCGACCCTGACCGAAGTGGACCGCAAAGCCCTGCACGAAGGAATCCAGAACGCAATCCGTCACCAGAACTTCAACGCCATGCTCTCCCTCCTCAAAATCGACGAGTTCCTCTGCCGCTACAAATCAGAGAACCAGGGCCGCGACATCTACTTTACTATCCCATCCGAGCACTTCCTCGCTGTGACCCGCATCGGCCGTGACAAGCCACACCTCAACTTGGCTTTCTTCGAGGCTCTCCTCCGTGCTAGTGCGGAGTCTTTGCCTAGCTGGTCGTCCGAGATCACGAAGTGGACTGTCGATAATATGGAACTTGCGAGGACGAACCCAAATACCTATAACGAGATGAATGGGAAGTTTGCGCGCTGGTTGTCGGATTTCCTGCTGCGTCTTCCTGCGCAGGTTGAGTATGCCCATGGTTTCCCGACTGGTCAACTGTTCTGTAATGGTCAGTTGGATATCCTGGATCTCGAGGGCTCGCGCTTTGTCGATGAGGTTCTTGAACCCTTCCGGGAACCATTGGGGAATTGGATGATGGAAAGTTCGTTCCGGACCGAGGATCACTGGCTGAAGAAGTTCGGCCCTCCTCTTCCTCCATGAGATTTTTCCGAGTGCATGAGGACTTTGTTGTTAGCGTTATACCCGGATTTTAGATTGGTGTTGTAACAAAAGTTAGATGTGAAATATGAATACACTTTGAATTAAATATTCCCACAGCCAGAGATATCACTCAAGCAATATGGACTATGTATAGTACAAAAGATCGATATGAAACAGGAATTTTGAACATTTCCCAAATAGCAAACATCACATATTCCTCAACAACCGCAGAATACCAGCAATACGCCCACCCAGCGTCAACTCATACCCCATCTCAACAATACCCTTACACATCTCCCAAGCCGCAACCCCACCCTTCGCGTCCGCCGCGTCCGCCCGGTTCTGGATAGGATAGTCCACGCGTGGCGGGATCCCAGTACCAATCAAAGTAGGGAACCGATCAACGCAAACAGCCTTGATATTGCACAGACCGCGGAGTCCCTCCTCGCCCGCGAACCGGCCATATCCGGACCCGCGCACGCCGCCAAACGGCAGCTGCACGGCGTAAAAGGCACCGAAGTCGTTGATTGCGACCATGCCGGCGGAGATTCGTGACACGCAGGCTTGCACGTCCGATTGTCGGTGTCCGAAGACGCTCGCGCCTAGTGCGTATGGCGTTGAGTTTGCGATGGCGATTGCGTCGGGGACGGACTCGGCGCGCATCATCAGGAAGACCGGGGCGAAGAGCTCTGTTTGCGCGATCCGCATGTCGCGTGTCACGTCTACTAGTAGGGTTGGTGTGAAGTAGTGGCCGTGTTGGTGGACTGGGTGTTTGTGTTCGGTGCCGCCGGCGAGGAGGCGGGCGCCTTGTTGCACGGCTTCGTTGATGAGTTTCTCGAGGTTGGCGAATGATACTGGTGAGATCATCGCACCGACGTCTGGGGTTGCGGTGTCGAGGAGGACGGAGCCGAGGTGGAGATTTTGAATGCGTGGGGTTACGATTTCGATGAGTCGGTCGTATGGGTTGGGGAGAGCGATGATACGCTCGATGCCGATGCAGTTCTGGCCGGATGATTGGAAGACACCGCGCATGAGGATAGATGCGATGGAAGGGAGATTGCGGAGAGTGCGGGAGTCGTCCAGGATCACGGCAGGGTCTTTGCCGCCCAATTCGACACATACGGGAATGAGTGACTTGGCTGCTGATGTGCAGACGTGGTGGGCAACGGGCCGGGATCCAATGAATGTTATATGCGCGATATCAGGGTGCGAGGTGAATGCATCGGCAACATTAGGTAGACAGACTAGCGTCTGGACCAGATCGCGCGAGTGGCCACAGCTAGAGAGCGCGCCGCGCACCATCTCGAGGAAGTAGACTGCGGACCATGCGGTCTGCTCAGACGGCTTGACAACCACTGCGTTACCGGTGAACAGCGCGCTGATGATCGGACCGATGAAATTGTGTAACGGGTAGTTCCAGGACACACAGGCACCCACCACGCCCAGCGGTTCATATGTGACCGTGTTCTTCTTGTACATCATCAGGAAATTGGTCGGCCGGCGCTCTGGCAGCAGTGCCTTCTCGCCATGGTCGATTGTCCACTTGAGCTTCTCCACTGTCACAAGGATCTCGCCGAACGAACCGTCGACTTTTGTTTTACCCGAATCGAGACAGCATGCGGTAACGAGGTCGTCTTGGTGGTCTAGGACATATCTGCGGGATGTTAGTTGGACAAGCTTCACGGGGCGTAGACATAGCGCAATAGTTTCATAGGGCGGAGCAAATATCCCAATCCACATACTTCAACAATGTCCGGAGAACCTTTCTGCGCTCTGCAAAGGTAGTCTTTGCCCACTCCGGTTGAGCAGCTCCCGCAACCCGAACGACTTCGTTGACATCTTCAACCGTGGCGGGCTTGATTCCGTTACCGAGCACCCTCCCATCGGCAGGACAGTAGCTCACAATCAAGTCGTTGTTCCATTTCTGT